ACAATATTCTGCATTTTTACTTCCAGGGTTGAAGCACTACTACCACTTGTTTGATTTACAGCCATTTACAGTTTAAACATGTGATGATCCAGAGTTTGGGCTTCCACTTCTACAAAAAGACAAGTCCCCTTTTCCAAGACTTTCCTTTTCTTGCCTTAAAAATCAAGCAAGCATGCATACCCAAGAGCATACAAAAATGATAAAATTTATATACGTTCCCAATTTAGCACACTTATTAAAGAAACTAACAAAGAAGGGATCAGGAATGTTTAAAGCAATTTAATATGAACTTTAAACACAAAGTGTACTATTCAAAATAGCTACTTAAATTCATTAGGAATTTTAACCTCACAGAACAATTCCTTTGATTTCTATAATATATCTGATCATTACTCATTACTGCAGTCTTGAAAATACAGGTTTCTAGTAGGTGGGAAGAAGGAAAATTTAAACTAATCAATCCACCACATGGATATCTGATACCTGTCTTCCAGGTAATTCCTATAATACTTGATTATTATAAGGAATCTGGGTTCCTGCAGATTTGAGAATGCCTTGTCTTCAGGAATGGTCTGCCAAACAGAGAGGGGAGTTTCATTTTATATTTCTTTCTAGTTTCTCTTTGTGACAGAGATAGAACAAGCATTCTTACTGAAGAGTGAGAGCAGAATCATGATTACAAAGTAGTAAAACAACGGGGAAAACACAGATATTTTATTCTATTTTTCACAAGTGATTATTAAGTACCATTAAGTCATTTTTACTCCTATCATCCATGTAAATAGATTTTCTCCATGACAATCTATCACTAACTTGGTCTTTCAGGTCTTCTAACTCATCCATCCACCTTGCTATTGGTTGTCGTCCTTTCTTTCCTTCCACCTTTCTCAGTATTAGAGCCTTATCCAGAGAACTAGGTCTTTGTATAACATGTCTAAAGTGGGATTATTTGAGACACAAGGGAGAATTCTGTTGTGATTTGTTTGATTATTCATTGATTTGTTTTCTTAGCTGTCCATAGTATTCTCAGCAGTCCTCTCAACACTAAAGTTCAAAGGTGTCAGTACATTTCCTATCATGCTTTCCCCCCAAAAAATTTCATTCCATAGAGTGCCACAGAGATTACCACGGTTTGCATGATTCTTATCTTTGTAGGCATAGATACATAAAGACATTTGAATCTTTTCTGAGACTTTCATGACTGCTCTACCAAGTGCTAGTCTTTGGCATTTTTTTTTTTTTTACTTTTTGTCCCTTTACTGTTGATAGTTGATCCTAAAAGGTAGAAGTTACCTAGTAGGATTTTAATTTTGTTCATCTTATACTTTATAGTATCAAGTATTTTCTATTTTATTTTAACTTACTATCAAGAAGCAGGATATAAATTTAATACTAAATCAAATGAAAACTATAAATCTGTTTTTTTTTCAGTAGTTTATATTAAGAAGATTTGTAATTACCATAAATTCAGCAGTTCATACAAGCAAATATAAACTAAGCACTCAGTGAATGTGTATACAAATGAGCATGCAACTCTCACATGTCTACAATTTGGATACAAATACATGAATGTTAGTTCTTTGCAAACTGGAATGTGTATACAAATAGCCTTTCATGCAGTGAATACAAAATAATGTCTGGCTAACACTATGGTGAACTTGCAGCATTAATACACACATCCTGAGCTATGTTATATGAGACATCAATTACTCTGTTTCAGGCACTTGGCTCTAAACATTTGTTCTAGATTAATTTTAAGATAATCCAGAATTCTTGGCAATGGCAACATATCCTTTTGCACAACAGAATGTTCTTTTAATAAGGCTGGTGGATATAAATATACACCTTGCCCAAACACTGGAAAATAATTGATTTCTTGTTCTGCTTCTAGCCTTTTGACCTGTAGAAGAAAAATACCATGATTAAAAGTCCTCTAAAACATACTTTCAAACAATTGTAAAGGAACTTAGAGAGGTATGGCTCATGAAAGAAGCACATGAAAAATTGTCTGCTATCAGAAACAATAATAGTAGCTCAAAAGTTACATTAGGTGTCTGTAATATTTTCACAAAAGGTAACAAACAAAGCTGTTGTGAAATGTGGATTATAGAAATAACGATTTAAAACTTGTTCTCTTGTTACCTGAGTTTCAAGTTTGCCTTGACTTTTAAAGAAAAAATGTAGTACAATCCCAATAGTTTGAAAGTCTGAAATTTTTAGCATTTGTTGTTAGAATCAACTAATTTTGGAAAGCTTGAGTGCATTTAATCTAAAATGACAAAATAATTAGGAATAAATATTTTAAGGTATCAGTGTTTTATTACTGGAATTATAAATGGAAATATTATCTTAAATATTGTGTGAAAAAATACAAAGAATTAGGTTAGAGATAACTGTCCAGATGTTGATAAACTTCAGCTTCTATGAGTTATTGCCAGCACAGTTTAAAGTAAAGTTGCAATCCAGCACTACTGTGAATAGTTCAGTACAATTTTCCAAACAAAAACAACATCAATTACTAAAAACATCTGTATACAAATACATGTATTATGATAGGAAACACCTATTCTAATACAGAAATTTCTTGCAAAAAAAAAATAATGAAGAGGCATATATAAGTGTGTGCATGCACAGGCATGCTAATTCTTTATTCTTTATTTCTCTAATTGCCTTCGGGTCCTGCATCATAAATTCCTTAAAGTAGCTATCTTTCATTCCACCAGCATTTTTCATTCAATCCTACTTTTAAAGTTTTCCCATCTGATTTCTGCCACTATCATCCTCTGATTGGCCCTTACAACAAGTATTTTCAATGCCCCACTTCCCAATCCAGCTCTCCTCACTCCTCCATCTTTATAAGATCTGCTCAGTCTTTGACATAGTTGGTTATTCTCTCCTGTTTGATTTCCCTATTTGTCCAAATTCTTAAAAGTTGTCTTCATGATTTGATTCTCAGTTGGTTCTCTTCCAGTCAATCAAACTCTCGCTATTTTCAAGATGACCCATATTTTCTGTCTTTGTTTTTTTTCCTCTCAGGTCCTTTGATATGGTTTCTGTCTATATTAATTTTGTCCCTGGTAGGACAACCTAAGATTTCAGATGGGTATTGATAGCATTTGATCCTATACATATATGCATACATGCATATATACATATATACATATAAACATATAAACATATATACATACTTATATTCATCCCTTTATGTATTTCAGACCTCTAGATACCTTTCTCATGCTTCCATTTTGGGGCAAGAGTTTCCAGCAAAGAGCTGTTTTTGACCTTTGAGGAGTATGTTGATTGATTGCATTCCAGATGTAACTGGACCAGAATAAAGAAGCAAGCAAGGATAGGATAAAAATATCTATGAAATAATTCCCCTCTTCTTTCATATTAGGAATTGCATGTGGGAAGCACACCTCTATGGCTTGGGAAATCACAAAGACCCCTGACTTTTTATCCCTGTATTAGCCATGATATTGTAGTTTCAGTGCAATGGGTCCCCAAGTTTTTATTATCAGGGACTGCTTATATTATTGCCATCCACCCTGGTGCCTAAGCAAGAAGCCTCAGCTGTCTGCCTGCCCTTTCCACCTGTTCTCCCACTCTCAAATTGCTTAATTGCAATGGGGAAAAGTATAATGTGATTAATTTTCTCAGTATACCTTTCTACATGTGTATATTACATGCTTGTGGCTTTGGAGGTACATGATCTCTCCTGATGAAATGTGGATATATTTCTTATTTATAGTCTAGAAAGAGAAATATACAGTAAATTAGAAAATATAGTAGTGTTCCTATTGCAATCCCCATTATTAAATTGATCTTCCCACCCACTGTATGGCATGTAGGTCCACTGCTGCAAAACAAGATCTCCCAAGGCAGAGGCACTTTAGGTTTCAAAGGCTAGACTTCAGGGGTACATGAAATTCTTCCATGGGATGTACTTGCTTATCTGCTTTTATATTCTGTCACATCCCTTCCTGTAAATTTTAATCATCCAAAGGGCTTCTGCTCCACCCTTGCATTCTAGAAGAAGCTGGCCTGGATTAGATACTCCTAGAACTGCCTTCCTGAATGCCTTCTTGTGTTGATTCCCTCCCCAAAACTCTTCCTGAAATTCACATTTTCCATATTTTTTTCAGAATAACTTTAATCTAAGCCAGCGTTATGCGCATGCGCGGCCCCATGCATGGCACGCATGCGCGGCGCTGCCCCCGGAGGCATGCCGCCGCCCCCATGCGCAGCGCACATGTGCGGCAGCACCCCCGGAGGGGAGAAAATGGCGGATCGCTGCCTTTGGCGACCCCCGAAAAATGGTCGATCGACCCCAAATGGGGGCGCGACCCATAGGTTGAGAACCGCTGATCTAAGCCAATGTATAAGCAATTGAGCCAGTAGCATGTCTTTCCCACATTGATCTCTCTCTCTCCCCTTCCTGTTCCCCTAGTGCTTCCCAGGGAGGGAGGGAGGGAGGGAGAGAGGGAGGGAGAGAGGGAGGAAGGAAGGAAGGAAGGAAGGAAGGAAGGAAGGTTTCTGAAACTCCCTGCCAACTTCCCACAAGGAAACTCAATGGGGAAACCAACAGGAAGGTGTAAGTCATTTCCACTCCCACTGCTTTTTTGTCCACAAAGGGTCATTCTGTTTTTCTGTTTAGATTGAATATTATTCTTGTTGTTTTTGTTGTTGTTGATAGCATTTGGAGCACAGGTTGTCCAGTAAATAATAATAAACAATTAACCTGTATCAGTTTCTGTTGTGCCAATGTATAAGAGGAAAACGGGCAACATCAATTTGTTGAGAAGTCACCATTCTTGCAAATATGCAATTTTTTTTATTTGCATCAAGTAAACTTTTTACCATGAACAATAAGGAAAAGGACTCCATATTTTTGTTATTGCAGCATTTCCACTTTGAGCCTCATCAAAACCTCTTCTACAGCGTCAAATTGTACTAGACAACTATAAATATTTTTCATTTCTTTCCTTTTTCATTTTTAGAAAATCCAGTCTCTGGTGATGAAACTAATTCAACTAATTCTCCAAATGCTACCATTGCTGAGAGGTTGACAACAATCATTGCTCCTACCTCTGCTTCTAATTTTACCTCTTTAAACTCTACTGCTCCATCACTAGAAGGTAAATTGGCTTCAACATTTCTATGGAAGTAGCTTGACTCATTTATTCATTTATGATAAAAACATAACTTCCTCAAAGGGTTGCCATTTATGTTTTCTCAGAGTTTCCCCATCTTTTCTCAGACTGCTAAAATTCTGACCTACATGAAAGAAAGAAAAAAATATTGAAATGTAATTTTCATTGAATAATTCTTAGTGCAGTTTCCCAATTTCTCAAGAAACTGTACAACTTTTAAATACCTTTCATCAGGAATGAGATGTTATAAGTATACTTTAATTTTAGTTCTAGATATCAATTTATCACTTCCCCTCTCCCAGTTCCAGGCTATTATTTTAAATCAATTGTTTAGCTAGTGATAAAATGCTTTGCTTATTATGCAAATGTATTGTTAAACATCTGAAATGTTCAGATCAGACTTCACTATCATAGATCTGTTCAAAATAAATTCAAATTAAGACATACAACTCCTAAATAGTGAGACATGAAAGTAAAGAGCAGAGTTCAGAACTGTGAAGCCTAAATATGAGTAACAATTTAAAAAAATAGACTAAAATTAACAATAAACAATCTCTTTGTCTGGATCAATAGATATTTGAAACATGATTATTAATAAATTACAGCTAATACTGCAGACAAAAAGACAACATTTAGCTATGTTCAGTAAGATAAAGTTCAACTGAACAGATAGCAATAGATGAAGAGAAAATGAATCTGAGTAGTGACTAGGACATTAGTCTAAACATAGGGATAAAAGCTTCCAATGTGAAATAACATAATGTGAACAGTACAACACAACACAATGCAACATGGCTCAATGTCAGTATTTTTCCTGTGCCAGAGGGACACAGTCTTCACTCAAATGGAATCTCTTCATATCTCCTCCTCAGTGACAGCTGTTGGGAAGGTATTAAATCTAGTCAAAGAGAAAACTCTTAGAGATCATTATTTGATTAAGATATTGTGCTGGTTAGAATGGTTGAGAGAGATTATTCAAACTATGTTTGGGTATGGCTGACTGATTCATCTGAAGCTCCAGGTGAAAATGTGCTATTTGAGATCATTAAGTGTACACTCATAACCTATTAAAAGAATAGCCAGCTATGAGAAAACTAATAGGATGAGTAAGATGATTTATTATTATTATTGTTGTTGTTGTTGTTGTTGTTAATCATCATCATCATCATCATCATCAATTTGATTCACAGTCTGGGACTGGTAAAAACTTAACAGTTTAAGTCTTAACCAAGGACCTAAGAGCTGTTAAGGTAGCACATGAGTATACAGGCAGTTCTGAGTAAGGTGGTTTTTTGCAAAGTCACAATATTCAGATCTAATAAGTTCAAAATTTCCATGTTTCTAGGCAGCCCTTTGGGTATTTCTCCAAGGGCTTATTATTATTATTATTATTTACACAAAAATGTGAAAGCACAGCTGCCAGTTCTTTAGATGGTGTGTGTCTTCATACACATCAAGTTCCTCCCAAGAAACTGGGATATTGTAATGTACCAGCCTAGTATATATGCAGATCCAAGTAATGTAGCCTTTTGTAATAGACAGATGGAAATCTTATATCTTTATCCACTTTCCCTTCATCTTTTGTAGAAATTGACCATGTATTATTGTTAGTGAACCAATGTTTAGACTGGATTTGGCATTTTTATCCATCAATCAAGTCCTTTATTTCTTTCCAGAGACATCAAGTAATGTTACCAAGCCAGAGACATTTGTGCCCAGCACATCCAGAATAAGCTTAACTTCACCAAATACAACAGCTAAGTCATTTACTACACAGTGGAATGCAATAGTGACTATTAACAATGAGACAACGACTCATAATTTAAGCTCAACATCACTTCTAACACATGGTCCTACTGAGCCAACAACATATAATTCCACCATCTTTCTTATTACATCCATGACTGAGAACAACAATGTGATGGTAAGATTGTGAAAATTTAGGATTGATATGAAAAGAAAAGTGATTAATTTTCCTTATTGGGATCATTATTGTAAATCAATGATTGATATATTAATCAGTCTCATCAACATGGCATTTTAGTTACTTTTGCAAATGTGCCACCCTATATTCTTCAGCTTCCTGGATGATTCTCATAGGTGCCCATTTATTTCTTTGAATCCCACCTAGGCTATTGTTATTCTTATTTCAATTTATTGGGGAAGTGGGTGCAAGAGGATGGATGTGTTTACATAACTTTTTTCCTCAGCAAAGGAAGCTCCAACAGCTCATTGGCAAACTGCCGAAAGCACACATGTGCAGGAAAGAGGGAACATAAATTTACAACTCCCAGCTGTGGTTTTCTCTAATGTGCTTTCCCACATTCAGATTTTTTTATAGCATTTGACATTCAAACATTGATTCAACTATGTGGTGTTCTACATGGCCATTTTACTAGCTACTACTACTATTTTGTGTTCAGAAAAATGTGAATTGTCACATAGTCTTATCTTGCTATATGAAAATGTATCTGAGTACAAATAAAATTAATTCAGTGCAATAAAAATTGTTGTTGCATAAACATGGACTTAGTCTGAATTTACATTGACTCTGTTCTCGGTATTGGAATTACAATGTTCCTAAGGCAGTAGGAACAGTACAGTAGCATAATCCAACCCTTCTTTCATAAATCTGATAAGTTTTATTACCTTTGAGGAAGTTCACCTATGATTTCTACTGGATAAAATTTATATTTATGTTTATGTTTCTTTGGTTTGATATCTCCATTTTAGGTTACCCTGTATTCACCAATGGTCTTTTCAGCCATATAGTGCTATATGTCTGATGGAATCATATGAAGTTTTTGAATCCAAAATTTCATATGCTTCCATCAGACAAATAGCATTATGTCTCCTTTCAGAAAAGAGCTGAAAGTTTTCTAACATAATAGAACCATGAGACTATTTCCTAAGATAATTATTTCCCACATATGGCTGCCAGCCTGAACCTATCTTCACAGGTATGGCTCAGTGTGTCCCCACCATATAAGGTGAACTAGTATTTTAGAAACAGCCTTCTTGATGTTGGGATCTCTATTGTAGAAATGCCTTCTCAGAGATAGTTGCCTAATACCTTCTTTGTGGTCAATTTTGCACCAAGTTGCTGGTTTGTCTGCTTAATATATCTATTTGTTTAAAATTACATGTCAGCATAAAAAGATCTTTTTAATCATTTTTGTTATACTTTAGGATTTACTTTTTCCACAAGAAAAAAATATTTGTGCTTTTTTCTGTCACATTTTAGCAACATTGTTTATTCTTTTTTCTTGAATTATTCAATAAGCACATATCAATAAAGGAGAATATATGTAATTCAGAATCAAAATTAGGAGTCCTCGGTGCTCTCTGAACTTAATTGTTTTCTTGCAGACATTTCATTACCCAAACTAGATAACATCATCAGACTAGTAGTGATGATGTTACATAGTTTGGGTAATGAACCATCTGCAAGACAACAACCAAGCTCAGGGAGCACCAAGGACCCTTCAAGCACATATCAATTAACTGGTTATTTCACAGAAATGCTATTAGCAAATGAATAGCCAAATGACACCAGACAAAGAGAAATTCAATGATACACTCTTCCATCCTTTCTTTCTCTAGTTCAACATCACATGTGTGAAAATCAAGCAGATGCTTCCTGCCACTGAAGTGGTATGCTTGGAACTCCACGAAGCCCAATCCTGTGTAAGTAGTCAGGGAGAGAAAATGGCAAGGGAGGCATTCATTACAATGGAGGGGGAGGTTGCTTTGCTTTAAGATAAAAAGTTGTGGGGAGGACTATAATTTCTTGCTATGAAAGATCAAACTTGGAAAAGTAAAAAGTGAGGGTTATCCTCCACTCATCTTTAAACAATAAATGTAATTGTTTCTATTCAGTGCAAAACCGCATGCATTTCAGTTCGTCATGACCCATTTGGCTCTAGACTTGGACAATGTTTTGCCCCTAATACTTCATGCATTCCATTTATTAAGTTTATAAATTGTCTAATGGATTCCAGCATCATTTTTACACACCAGGCACTTTTTCCACTACAGCATCCATACTTGTAGGAACAGCATAAAGCTTCTCTAAGGTGTAAGAGGGAAGGGGAAAGAGAGTAATGGCTCATTTGAGCCCAATAACTGGAAAGCATAGATATCTGGGCAAAAGGCAAGAAGGATAAGTGATCAAATATGCACTGTGAGATTGTGAAACAATCACTCCATACTTCTATGTGATATTGTGAAGCAAGTAAGTTTTTGCATGATGATGTCTGGATACCAATTTCTTAATTTTAGCATTATTGTGGTTAGTTTTTAATGTATATCCTGGAGGGTAGACCAAGGTAAGAATTTGTGGTATCCTGTTTTTATAACAAGGAAAATTAAGCTGAATTGGAGGGGAGGTCGCAAAGATTTGCGAAATTGATTAGACATTGACTAGAAAGTGTTAAAACCAGTAGGTTGAGAAAAGTTTTTTCAGGCAGCAGAATGTTGGGGTAAAGCAAGAGGTCCAGAAATGGGAGGTTAGCCTCTCTTCAAGGCCCACAAAATTTCTGTCTTGAAATCTTGAGATGAACGTTTTGCAATTTGAGTTGTACTATAGCTAAGCCAGTAAGCAATTATGTTGAGCACACAATGCATTGAAAGTTTGTGTTAAAATAATATTTTAAAAGATCTGAAATGTGGCAGAATGTATGAAATTTATTTAAGCTGAAAGCTTTTCAAGAATTATGCTGAAATAAACTCCTGCAGGAGCTCACTTTTGTAGCATAGGCACCACCTAATGGGTTGATATTTAAGCAGAAAAACAAGTAACACAATTGTGTCAATAATTTATTTAGAATTGTGATAATATAATGCAGGTTATCTACCCTTTAGCTCCATTCATTTACACACTTTATTGGGGATCAGCATTAGGTAAACTTCATCAGATTTGATCATTATTGTTATATGAGTTACTGTACATAATTAAGAACCAGGCTTACTCCTCTGCAGGATTGACATAATTTATATGTTCCTGTCAATGTGTGAAATTAGCATTTTATAGAATGCCTAGGAAATCTATAGAATGCCAAAAATGGGACGCTCTTATCATTCTTCATAATGCCTAGGTATACAATGCCTAGGAAAAGTAGACATTTCATATTTTAAAACATCTAAAAACATTACGCATTCTACAGATTTTCTAGTGCCAGCTTTTCACACATTGCCAGTAATGTATTTATTGAAATCATTGATTGGAAAGCCTGGAAGCTGAAGTTCTGAAAGACACCAAATTAGGAAAACAGCCTACAATGAATCAGGCTGTGAATATTGTACAGATGTAGCCTTTAGACTAAAGTTCTGGCTTTGTCATCACAACTTTTGATACAGGCTTGTAAGCCTTGGAAATCACTTATTAACATATCCCCAATGATAAAACATTGATAATATTATTCAATAACAGTCCTGATATTACTAATGGCTTGTAGGTTTTTCTAAACTATTAACAATTGACTAATAGTGCTATATTGGCTAATAATGCTCTATGTAGCATTCAAACATAGACATAATAAGCAAAATAGTTATTAACTACCTAATGAATAATTGTGAATATTAATTTGTCAACATGGAGCATTATAATATAGTCTATAACAGGAAGTCACAAACCAATGTTTGATTTCCATCTGAAATATTGTTTTTATTCACTGGTATATGGACAGGGTTTTTTGTTTTTTTTTCATGAACAAGAATTTTCAGTGGATGACTAAGAACCCGGTTCATAATATTTCCTTTAATTGTGATGACCATGCATGCTATTGGAGGAAACATGGATGATGGTACTATAATAGTATGATGAACAGGAAACTATTATAAAATTCATCTTTGAATCATCTATTTTTATAATTTTTCATAAGGAGAATGAAACATGAAACAATTTCAAGCAAAATCTGTTTTCATAAGTGAACATTCCAATTATAAACTTAAATGTCACTTTATAATTTATTGCTTTATAGTAATTATTATTCTATCCTAATTGCTAAAATCTTGCACCAGCCTCCATCAATGGGAGAGAGATTATGGTAGCTGATATATCTAGAAGGCATCAGTTTAAACATATAGGTTTATGTGCACCTACATTTCTTCATAGAGATCTTTTTCACCTACCACAGAAACTGAAAAGGTATTATAATGTATTATCGTCCTGAACACACACATAATTTGCAGCTTTATAGTTCGGCTAATTTTTACTGGAAATTGGGATCAGGCCTTCTTACTTTGTCTCATACATTATTTTTAAGACTGATTGCTGTGTCTGAGCCACAAATAGTTTGAATGAACTCTTTCACTTGTTTGTCTTTCTGTCAGGCTTTTTCCAGTAAGCTAGTTCATTCACTAGAAAGGAAACTCTGACATCTTCTCAACAATTCTTTCCACAGAAAAGAAAGAAAAAAAACATAAGGGTTTTTCCTCAGTATCCTGAACTAATATTTGTGGGAATGGTTTGATTAGGTTTTATTTTCATTTTTCCATTTTCCATGCATAATACATACTGTGATTGTTTACATTTTTACTTCTATTGTGTGGCTTTTGTTTATTCCATTGGGTCACATTAAGTCACCATTTGAGAATTTTGTGAAGCCAATTAAACCACCTAAAGATATGAACTGATATCCGAAATCCTAAATAGATTGATATTTAAAATCCTACTCTAGGTGCTTATCTATCCATGAATGTCCCAGCCAGTAGAAAGTTAGATACAGGGAATCCTCATTTAGTGACTGGCTCAGACTGTGACTGCAGTTATGACAAGGATGAAAACATAACTTTGCAAATTTTGAAAAGCCAAAGTAAGACTTTAAGATATTTGCAGATTAACTTATCAGCTGCTTTGCTTAACAATCAAGCTACTTGTGTCCAACTGTAATTTTTAAACAAGAATTATATGTAATTCAAAGTGGACTTGGATGGAAGATTTCTCCCTGATAATTATTTAGATAGACAGACAGACATTTATATTTTTGTTTTATTTAAGGGGAAGTGCTGGTGATGGTTCTTGTATAATAGAGTGTGATTAAAAGTAGATTCTTCCTCTGTAGTGATGCTACCTGTGAATTAAATATTGCACATGGAAGTATTTATTTTTAACAGCCATGAAATTTTACAAGTTAGCTCCATTGCACGAGATTTAAGGAAGGGCAGAATTTCAGGAAGTTTAGTATTCTTCCACACAGACACAACATGAGAAAATGGTCCTTGCTCTCTTGCAACTCCAACAATAACATTTTGTGTGTGTATGTTTGCTGTAGAACAGATATTGCATATGTCCTGCTCTGAGAGGCAGGAGGAAAGTTCTCAGCAGCTGCCCAATTGCTTTTTTCATAATTTACCAGGAATGTTTTTTCTCCACAGCTCCCAAGCAATTCTGGCCCATTTAAAAACTTTCTTTTACCTGCTTCTCTTTGGTGTCATTCTAGCCAGTTTTCTTAGAATTATTGTGCTGATGAACAAACAGATGAACAGAATTCCACCCTTTGTACATATTTTTTTCCAAATTCCACAATGTTAGAAAGAATTAAAGAAAATTCTACTAGCTGAATATATACTAGACATAAAATATTCAACAACCAGAGGAAGACTCAATCTTTTTTCCAACTTATTGAACCAGCCTATATTTCTAAATTGCTTTAGATTATTGTAGCCTAGCTTTTCTGAGTCTGACCCTGACCTGTACATCTCCTTTGATGTCCAAATTGACTAAGTGGAGGGGAAATAACTACAGCCTCACACTTTTCTTCCTGTCTCCTCCACAACTGTTTGGGAAAGGCGACATTTTATTTTAATCTTTATGTGGGAAGATTTTATCCTTGCAAAATGTGCCATAAAAGAACCATCTGAAATATGCAAGGCGTTTCTGAAACAGGAAGGCGAACTCTGTGCTTGTTATTTCCCTCATCTCCTGCCTGGTAACAGTGGAGAAGGATACAGTGCTCATAATCTCAAAACATTAAGAGCTGCTTTGGCTGATTCAGAATATAGTTGCAGAATGAACAGTTATCATGACATTAATTATTTAATCAGCAAGTTAAATTATATTTAATTAGTAATCAGTATCCACAGAAATGTGTTGACAAATATTTCAGTACATATTCTTTCTGTTTTTATTTTTTAACAACCGGACATCTAATCCTCTTCACCCACTATACTTCAGTAAAGCAAATTAAGAACCCCAAGCATATAACTAAAACATGCTCTAAACTTTGTCTTATCTTCTGTAGGTCTGCTTTCACATGCTATAATTTATAATAATCTGTCTCATTTAAGAGAAGTGCCCATTAATATACCATAAAGAATGTTCCTATGCATATATTTTAGATAGTCATAATAGGACATAGTAATTCCATAAATGGAGCTGCTGTGCCTTCTTGGAACATTGTTCTTAATGTTTGTGGTTTCTCTTAACCTTTGTAGATTTTGAGCCAAGAAATCCACAAATAGCTGCTATTGGGAGGATAAACTGTAGCTCATGGGAATGTTGTTATGTTTACAGAAGCCAGTGATAATTAATTTGCCACTGGATGTTGGGTTAATGTAAAGAAAACAAATGAGAAAAAATGTTCTACAGAAGTAACACTATTTTATTTTGTTTTTTTTTGTTTTTAGGAAAACTTTAAAAGAAACAAGGGGGAGGGATTGAGCAAATTAGTTTGCAAAAAAAAAGAAGTACCATGTTTTATTGAACTGGCTGACTCTGATGTGAATCACCAATGCATGCTGTTGCTTGCAGTTAACAATACAGGTTAGTTGAACTGATTTATTACAGCTTGCAATCAAGTTGAATACCAGCTATGAGTGACTTGTTAAGATTGACTAGATTTCACATGTGGAATGAAACCATAATGTTATCTTTGGCTGATTGGACAAATTTTATATATAAAATACATTAGCCCTAATCCAGCAAGTATATATAACACATTAGCCCCAATCCAGCAACCCTTGCTATAGGTTAGCAAGATAAGTAAACCCAATGTTTTTGCTATCTTCTTCATTGTTAGATTGGGGTGTGGGAGAATGCAGAAAGTAGTTGAAAAACCAACTATTTCAAAATGTATTAGATGTCCTCAATTAGGTGTTACTTCTGTTCAAATTAAGGTCAGGAAGTGATTTAGTTTGTTTGTTTACTTCCCAGTTAGTCTAGAGGTCATGGGATTTCCTTGTGATCTCACATCTAAGTGCTAACCAATCTATTCCAGCTTAGCTTTTTGAAGATCAGCTAAATGTGGTGGCCAGCAGCAAATAAAAAATTATAACCCCTCCCCCCCACCTTCCTGTCATTACTAAATTCAAACAAATATTGGTATATATATCACAAGAATATTCAAATACTAATTGGAAACTCTGACTGGATTCACTGATTGCATGGGCCATAGTGTTATTTGGTTTTATTTCAGCATTTTATTTATTAATGTATTTATTAAATTTATGTAAACACATTCAGTTTGATTTGCAAACAATTGCTTATAACTTATTTATGTATTTTTATTATGCTTGCATTTTGTCCATTCTCATAGGCAGCTAAACAGAGGTAAATAGATAAAATGCTCCCCAAATCCTTAAACAGATATAATTATTTTCCAGAAGCACACATATAGTGTGCCCTATCTTTCAATTAAAAAAAATACTCTTCATGTGCAAGACAAAATGGGTTGATTTTCAGTTTTCCTGGAGCCTAAAAATGATATGGCACTTCCATTGGAAGGGAGTTTCAAAGAATGCCTGCCTCTAGGGTCCCATCAGTTATAATCTTGGAGTGATAGGACCCGGAAGTGTTGGTTTTATTTATTTAGGAGCCTTGGTGGTACAGTGATTAGAATGCAGTATTGCAGGCTAACTTTGCCCACTGCCAGGAGTTCGATCCGGCCCTGCTCAAGGTTGACTCAACCTTCCATTACTTCCAAGGTCAGTAAAATGAGGACCTAGATTCTAAACTGTCCAGAGAGTGCTGTAAAGCACTATGGGATGGTATATAAGTCTAAGTGCTATTGCTATTGGTATATTATTTGATTTGTTTGGACAGGCAAATGAATTAAGGAGAAGATGGCCAGATAACCAGGATCAGATCTATATAGGTTTTAAATGTGACAACTACCACCTTAAATCATATCCAGAATTCAGCTGGAAACTAAGGCAACTCCCATTAGTACTGCAGCTGCTCAGCTGCAGTTTCCAAGGGTCATTCCATGTTGAGCATTTTGCAATGATTTAATAGAAGTGACTACAGCTTTAGTGACTATGAGGAAGTCCTCCAAATCCAGAAAAAAAGTTGTAATTGTACAAAAAGGCTTATCTGACATTTGGTAATTAAATAGGAGAATTCTCAAGTTGCAAACCATTTTTTAACAAAGAAATACAACCTGTTTAGAGTTTTAAAAAATGGATGTTCCCTGCAATTGTTAGATTTGCAGATCTAAAGCCACTCCTTATTGGAGGGATTCAATTAAAGTGTGTTCCTCCTCATCCAGACCCAAACAATCTCCAGGGAGTCAGTTAACAATTTTACTGCATATCTACTCATGGCTATGGTGTACACTATGTATCAGCAGTATATGATGATGCTATATTTTATCATTCTAGTCAATTGTGGCTTATTTAATAAACCACAGATGTATAAGCCATATATATCTTTGAATAAAATCTGTGCAGGTGAAGCTGTAAATGTTAACGCTTCTTTGCTTGATAAATAATTCCAATATGCTCTGAAAGTAAATTTCAGTTTTTCTTTGCTTTAGAAAATATAGGTGCAGAAGCATTGTATGGCTTTCTGGATGACAAGCAACCTGATTTGAAAGTGGTAATTTATTCATGCTTTTATATATATCATTGGGTGAGACAGAATAAAAAATTTAAAACCTAAAATATTACAGAATCTGAATAGTATGCTTTGTATGCCAGGATCCTGTATGACTAAAATCATGTAAATGAACAGTGGTATATTTTCCTAAAGAATGTGGAATAAATTGTCAATATTTTAATAATAATCAAATTGTTATAACAAGCAACTAACTGTAGGAGTTTCCCAACCAATTTCCAATTCACTATTTTTAGAAAACAGACCAAAATGTAACACTTTTAAACATTAAGCAATATGCATTTTCCTGGATTTGAGGTGTTATCAAAACATCAACCAACAGTTCCATTGGCTTTTGTGCATCTACCCTGCATGTGAAGAAACCACTTTTAGCTATGGGAATTGCCACAGAATTTTTCCAAAGACAAGTGAAATTGTTTTCATGGAATTGTTTCATTCATGAAAGACATAAATGGCTTTCAAAATGTGCAGAGTTCTAATATATAGTGCAAAAGAAGTTCCAAGAGTTTCCAGAAATCGCATCCTGAAAATTAGTTTCCTTCGTGTTGTAACTTAACATACAAAACATATGAAATACACAAGACTTCTTCTCTCTTTCCAAACTACTTTCCCAAACATATCCTAAAGCTGTGAGATTCAATTTCAAAAAGGTTCAGCAATTCACATTTTCACACTGAGTCTTCAGATTGAATTCTTGAATCATTTGAAAGAATCAGTGAATGAGGTGCTTTGAATTACTTTGGATTAAGAGATTTGATGGGGTTTTCTTTTATGTTGCTATGATTTTCCTCCCAAAATGGACAGTACTATTCCGCCTATTGTGTCTCACTTTTGAATTAGACTTAGAATTTGTTTAGGTAGGTTTACATGGAGTGCAACATTTATTGTACTGGTGGTTGGCTGTTTACACTAGTTTGTTCTTTCTTATATAATCCTCTTCCTCAATCCACATCCTTTTATTATTGTATTTCCTTTACTCCCAATGTACTTGTCTAGTCTGAAATATAGCCAGCTGGCACATGTGACCAATCTGTCTGCAATTGTTTGTTGCCGTTAGTCCTCCCCTTTTGTGCCTTTTCATTCTCTGCATTCCCTTCAAAGGTTTTTTTTTATTTTTTTTCTATTTTTGCTTTCTCTGTCTTACTTTATATTCTGTAAGTCTACCTCAGACCTAATGTCATACCATGATGTAAAGAAATAGTCTGTATTATATGCAATAGGTGAAATATGTAATAGTGATAACACACAAATTTATTGGGATGTTTTCAAGTTGTTGCCCAAGCATCACATAATTCATCACTCCCAGAAGAGGCTAATTCTGCCTCTTCCGCTTTTCCAGGAAGCCACCAGCCCAGAAAGATAAATGACCAAGGATCATAGAATCTTCAATCTTTAGTAAGAACTTGCTATTTAAAACTTTTTTTGAAAGGCTTGTTCTTAAGGTTTAATGGGGCATTTTGTCAGCCCCACTTCCCCATAAACAGGATATTTTAACTCCCTAAACAGTTTGGAGCTGTTAGGTTGTCCTTTCCTGATTCTTGCTATGTCTTGTTTAAAAAAGGTGTGAGAGTATTTCAAAGTGAAAGCCTTCAAGCTACCTGACATTGTAACAGATTAACTGTAATAGACTAGGGTACAAAATTGCAAATTGCTATTTGCATTCCTGGCAGGTGTTTTCATGCTTCTTTGGTTGAACCTATTTTGTTTTTTCCTTTTAGCTTGGGATAAAATCCCACAAACAGGAACGCACTGAGATTCACCAGGTCCATTCTCGGAGGACCCTTATTGCCTTGGTCACCATCGGTCTGCTGTTGGCATTTTTGGGATTGGCTGGATATTATCTTATGAAACGACGAAGCTGGAGTCCTATGGGAGAAAGGCTGGTTAGTGCTTATAGTTGGCAGAACAAGTAGAAAGTTCAAGGCATATAATAGCAGTTGCAGAGAAAAATGACAGGATTGCTATTCTTCCATTACTATATATTTGGGCATGTGCAAATATTGTTCACAAATATTTTTTTTAAAAAAGTTTCTCTCTAAGGAAAATATATTTCTCTTTAAATAACATCTGTCATACAATGAATTTCTGTAGGTCACCTTCATTAACCTGGAATGCAAACAGAGCTCTGTACAGTTTCATAGACAATTTTCAAAAGGTATTTTAGAACATTTGGGATGAGCACCTGCAACACCTTACAGAAGCTGTGTCTTTTTCCAGACCTGAATCCAAAGCAATCTACAGCCCTACCATACAGTATAAAATCTTGACAAATTGAATGCCAAATTGTCATCACAACAATAGCTAATGAATGTCCTGTTATTCCATTTATTTACTTTCTGGACTATACATTATGTAGACTACATTAGCTTTCAGAAACTAAACTATCATTCCATTATTGCAAATTAGTGATATTACTGTCAGTTTCTATAATCAATAAATATAGATGCAGGTGAGATTATAGGCAAAGAGTCAGAGCAAGACCTCTTAACAATTCATGGGAATACGTCATAGCTTTTTGCTAAAATCTGTTCTCTGAGCAAAAATACTCCAGATTAATTTTCTGGTGCTTCCATTGTAAAAAATTTCTGGAAGTAAGCTATGAATAATTTTTCTGCTCCAACCCTGGATACCAGAATAAACAATGAAATTGCATACTGGATTCTCAGTATTATATCCAATGTTTCCTTTTATTGAAATAATAATAATAATAATCATCATCATCATCTTTGTATTTTGTTATCTTCTCCAGCTCTTTCTCTTCTATTCTGCTGTTTCCAGGCACTGCCACATCCAAAAGTCTGGATAGTGGATGTGGCAGTGCCTGGAGACAGCAGAATAGAAGAGAAAGAGCTGGAGAAGATAACAAAATACAAAGACCTACAAATAGAAATAGAAAGACTGTGGCAAAAGCAAGCAAGGGTAGTACCAATAGTCATAGGCGCCTTGGGTGCAATCCCAAAACAACTGGAGCACCACTTGAACACCATTGGCATTGACAAATTCGCTATTAGTCAATTGCAAAAGGCGGCCTTACTAGGAACTGCTTCCATCCTGCGACGATATCTGTAATACCATCAAATCCACATCTGCCTATCCCAGGTCCTGGGTAAGGACTCGATAGGTAGACAAAATGCCAAATCCAGTCTGAACATCTGGCTGACTGTGCGATGATCAATAATAATAATAATATAAAATTGGAAGAAACCCTGGAGGTCATCTAGTCCAACCCCTTGCTCAAGCAGGAAACCATTTCAGACAAATGGCTGTCCAGTCTCTTCTTAAAAACATCCAGTGTTGGAGCATTCACAGCTTCTGGAGACAGGTTGTTCCACTGATTAATTGTTCTAATTGTCAGGAAATTTCTCCTTAGTTCTAGGTTGCTTCTTTCTTTGATTAGTTTCCATCCATTGCTTCTTGTTCTGCCTTCAGGCACTTTGGAGAATAGCTTGACTCCCTCTTCTTTGTGGCAACTCCTGATACATTGGAACACTGCTATCATGTCACCCCTCGTCCTTCTCTCCATTAAACTAGATATACCCAATTCCAGCAACCGTTCCTTATATGTTTTAGCCTCCAGTCCCCTAATCATCTTTGTTGCTCTTCTCTGTACTTTTCTAGGGTCTCAACATCTTTTTTACATCGTGGTGACCAAAACTGGATGCAGTATTCCGTGTGGCCTTATCAAGGCATTGTAAAGTGGTATTAACACTTCACATGACCTTGATTCTATCCCTCTGTTAATGAAGCCTAGCACTATCTTGGCTTTTTTGGTAGCTACAGCACACTGCTGGCTCATATTTAAGTGTTTATGTGTACATGTTTAAGTGTACATATTTATGTTGAATTTTTTGTATTATTATCATTGATCACATAGGCCACTGAAATATACTTCATACATGAACAAGATTTCCCTCTTCACCCCACCAGGAATATGATCTTAATACTTTTCTAAATCCCTGATTGAAGGGCCTGACTGAAAGAACAGATATTTATTTTATTTTCTATATAAGTCACTTTGTTGACTTTTGAACAGCTTAGTTTAACTCTGAATTTTCTTATTATTTGTACCTCCAACCTCTTTAGGGTGAAGATCCTTATTACATCGAAAATGATAGCCATGGCAATCCTGAGATCCCTGTAGCCTCTCAAGAACAATCAGGCCTGCAGGATAAACCAAATCTCAATGGAGGGGCTCGGGAAAATGGGACTGGCCAGCCATCCTCGAAAAATGGACACCAAACGAAGCCCCAGGTTGTGGCTGACACAGAACTGTGAAAATACTCTGACCTTTTTAATGCAGCTGGAAAAGCTCAATTTGCACTTAACAGCAGAGCTAGGACCAAAAATTCCTAAATAAAATCATAATACCTTTTTTTAAAAAAAGCTTTACTATCTTATACTAAAACATTTTTCAGGGGCTGACGCAGCAGCATTTGTGTATGAACACTGTAAAATTAGCAAACTGCTTCAATGGAATTGGATATGTTTTTAATAAACATGGAGTTTGAGGTTTTTTTATTTTTTCTATTTTTAGATGTCATATCCTTCACAACTGTTCATCCAGGGAGACACAAGGCATGCTTTCTAGAAATTAAAGATTTTTCACTGTTTGAGAGTTGTTTAATATCTATCTGATGCTGTTTAGAGTAAGAAAGGACATGTTCCCCTTTATAAAATGTAATTTTAATTTAATTTTAAAATATAACCGAGATATAACATCTAGGACTTCAGAGTAGTATGCAGCTGAAAGTCCCTAGACTTTGGTAGAGTATCACCACCCATCCTCATCTCCAGCTAAAACTGTCATTACTGCCTTTCTGCATTTGTGCTGTGCTGCAATTTGTATATAACATAAACTGATTGTAACTCATCAGAAGCCTTTTGAAATATGGCTGAAGCAGTTCTTAACACAAAATAAACTCTTCATTAGCTTTGCTTACTTCGAAAGAACTGAGTACCTTTTCCCTTTAAAGGCAATAGGAAATATTAGGAGACATCTTTTGTAACATGAAAGTGCAGTATAGTGGGCAATTGGCCTAAATCTCAAATGTTCTGTCTCCTTCAAACTTTGTTTTCGTTGTACATAAGAACAAGCAAACAACTCTTTTTCCTACATAGCATTTTCTAGATGCTTTGGGACTGTTACTATCAGAATTCACAGCAAGTATATCTTTTGAATTCCAAAAGTCACAGATATTTTTTTAAATTAAAGGAAATAAGTCTGAAATATTATTCTTAATCCAGATATAGTTAATTACATTGAAATAAAGGGTGGCATCAATTGTAGTTACATTAACTGGAGGTCCATTTTTCAGAGCCTAGAATCCTATTTTAACATCCTAGGGTTTGGATACAATGCAGTTTGCTTCTAAATAGACATTTATATGATGGCATAGAGCCTTTGAATATAGTTTTCAAACAAAACATGTGAGACTATATTTGTAAATGTAATGCAAATGCAAATACAGCTATATTTAAGTTGTATGCTTAAACATATCTAAGATCACAATAGTCATATATTTTTGGCTAAATTAAGTATTCTAACCCTCTTTTCTTCCCCCAAATATTTTTCTCCGTTGCCTTTCTTCCCCTCGGTGCCCATTCTGAAATGTATTGATTATTATTTGAATACAGAATGCAGAACAAAAATGTGACTAGGCTCTGAAATGAATTATCTTTTTATACTAATTATCATGGATATGTTTGTTAAAACAAAATTGGAAATAATTCAAGAACACCTAACATGAATACTGCCTTATTTACACTTGTCACTGGAAGAATTAGCTAGATATGGGATGGTGAACATAAAAATAAGTAGCCCACTAGGGAAAGGAAGATATTTCTTCTTTTTAATTCAAATTTCCCTAATCTGCTTTTGTCCAGATAGGTTGGAACCAGTAAATGCTCCAACACTGGAAGTTTTTAAGAAGAGACTGGACGGCCATTTGTCTGAAATGGCGTAGGGTTTCCTGCCTGGGCAGGGGGTTGGACTAGATGACCTCCAAGGTCCCTTCCAACTTTACTACTATTACTATAAGGTATTGTCCAAGTGCTGGTGCTAGAGAATGAATCAATTATTTAGCAGATTAGCAAACATGATTGTTAATATGATATAAAAGAAGCATGTATATTGGAATTGTTACTTAATACCTGATTTTCAAAATGCTGTTTTGATTGTTTGCTGTATTTAATTGAAAAGCTGTAATGCGTAGAAATGATTTGCCTTAAGCTTGTCTCTGAATTCTTGGCAAAAGTAAGTTTTCAGCTGAGGTATTCTTTTGCAAAGATACGAAGATTAAATGATTGTAGGCACGACAGCATAATTTACGATAGTGTAAGAAAAAAATCAGAATACACAGGAATGGCTCATGACTTGTGTTAGGCCTTCTTTGCACATTATAGCAAGCTTCTTCCCATGTTGTCCATTTTTAAGACAGACTTAATTAGAAGCTGTTCACGCCACTAGAATACCATTTATGGGAATGTGAGGACTTCTTGGCAAGATAAAGGCCACAAACATCTCTCACATGAACCAGGATTTTTGCAGAAATATCATTGTGTGTGATCCATTTATTTGCTTGGATATCCATATATATTCAAGAATTTTCTCCAACACCAAAGTTCAAAAGCATCAATAACTTTTTTATCATACTTCTTCAAAGTCCAACATTGCTTATACAATTTTGATTTTGATAGAGCATCTAAGTATCTTTTCCAAAGCCTTCATTGCAATTCTATCAAATGTCTGTGGTTTATTTCTTGACTACTGATTCCTTTATTATTGATAATCAATCTTAAAAGGGTTGCTCACAAAGACTAGCATATTATTCAGTTATTGACTGCATTGTACCCAAAGACTGCCTTTCTATATCTTTCCTGGCTATGAAACCACACTATTCATTGTTTTGCATTCCTTAGCAATGAACAGTTTAATTCTTTGACCAAATGTGCACAGTTCCAATCCATTTCACTTTACCAATGCCTAAGAAGCCCGGGTGTAGTTGATTTGTTTTGTTTTTCATACTGTTGAACTTTCTTACATTCATGCCGTTTATGTTCCATTTTCTCATTGTAATTCTGCCTTTGCAGCTTTGGGTTTTCTTTTCCTGTATGGCAACGTCAGCAACTATATGCCCCCAAAGACTTTAATTTAGCTGCATCATAAACACCATTATATTTCAAAAGATCCTCAGCAATTCTGCAGTAACATATTGAGTGCCAACCCATCTAAGGCTATCTTGTTGATCAGTTTATGACCATGCCATAAGGAATATCTAATTTGGCGGCAAGGGACAAATGAGCCCATTTGAACATTTGAGAACATATTGTGGCCATTCTGAAATGGTTATCTTGGGGGAGAATGAGAAATCAAAACAGCTGTTTATCAGGAAGCTACTCATCCAAACTGAGCACTGGATTGTAGCTCAGTGATACAGAACATTTTCAAAGAGATGCTTTGCAGAACAAAACATTACCCAGCATCCAAAAAAGCTACATATGGCTGACTCATGCTGAAATATTTTGAGAACTTTCCATGGTTTCTTCTCTTCATATATGCACATATATGCAGAAGGTACGTATCTTCTGCAAATCAGCCAGATAAAATAATAGAGTCATGATGAATCCCTCCTTCCTTCTCTCTCTCTCTCTCTCTCTCTCTCTCTCTCTCTCTCTCTCTCTCTCTCTCTCTCTCTCTCTCTTTTAGTCAAGACATCAGTTGAAATTAAATCACTCCTTAATTGAGATAGATCTGCAAAGTGAAGCAGTACCCATTCACACATTATGTTAGGGAGGTATCCAAGGTCATATTGGTATCTGTGGCATCATTCTGTAGACTGAATGCTGGTGAAATAAGCATTACCAAAAAAAGTAATATAATATGGGTGGAAAAAGAAAAAGAGGACAAGAGAGCACTATACTGTGGAAATGGTAAGGCAGACCTGGGGAGTCTTTCAAATAATCTTTCTAAATAAGGCATATAAAGACATGAATTCAGGAAATTAAGGAAGTGGTAGCTTGGACATAACTATCTTATTTCTGAATAAAGGAAAGTCTCTCATGTTATTGCAAACTCACTGTGGTCTGCATTATGTCCTGGTCTCCCAGCTTTAGGATATGATTTCAAAACATGAAGCCATTCACCCAACTCTATCTAAAGGACATTCTGAGATTTATGATAATGTCCAATACAGTTAGACATACACAAGCATATTTCTTCCTTCACTCTAATTTTATGTGATATGGAGATGAGGGATGCTTACAAAAAAATGTAACATTTTCCAGTATGTTCTATGCCTGAAGGGTCTTGAAAGGCTGCTATTCCTGTTCTTTCCCTCCATCACTTTTCAGGCCGAGCATATCTGCATGCGACTAGCCAGCCTTACTAATGCAGAAGTAATCCTTTAAATTTTCCCTATTTTTACCAGAGATCCTTAGAAGTTGATAATTGGAGAAATTAGCACAATCCATAAATTCTTTTTGAAATAAACGTTTGTTTGTCATAATTGTCCTCATATGTTAAGTAAATCTTTTAATATAACTCCTCCTATCTCTAACAAATGTCTCTTCTCAGAAAAAAAAAATGTCCTGATTTATATAGGGTAAGAAAACAAAAGCTGCTCCCAAACTGTCTGAAGCCAAAGGAAATGAAAGGCACAACACCAATAGAGGTGCAGAATATGAGAGAACGCCAATCCGGAAAAGGCTGTGTCCAAGCCACAGGAAGTTTTCTCCAAGTGTATAAACATACCGAGCTTTGTCCTGAGCACAACTGAAGGTGTTATTACTTTTTCCTTATCAACCCACATGCATTTTGTTCCTTGCAAAAATTCCTTCTTAATCTTTCATTTTGGAAAGCATGCTGCTGATAACGGTTTCCTCCTACTCAGTTTCTTTACTGCCATGAGAAAAGTACAATTCAATATTTATCTCCTTTGCATTCATAGGTCTCCACTAATTAAAGGGAAAAGTGCCTGATGCCTAGTTTTCATTTAATTTGTAGAAGAAATCATTATGTGGTATTTATAGCAACATGCAAGAAAAATAATGGGTCTAGAACACCTTCCATCAAATGATTTTATTTACATTTTATTCCATTGCTGTAGAAGTATCTAAGTCAACTTTCAGTTTTATGAATCTCTAATTAAATGAATTCAAGTAAAAGGGCTGGAAGACTTTTGCCTGCAGACAAGCAATATCATTGGCATTTAGTTAGATGGGCTTATATTCTGAGGCATTGTAAATCAGACTCTCATATCTTATGTTTGATGCACTGCAAGCAATGTTTAGAAAGATAAATAATTAGTTAATGATCAATTTTTATAAGAAGAATTTAAATAACTTTCTTCTTGGCTGTTTTACTGAATAATACACTGTACATCCAGTTACAGTGAGAATTGCCCAAATAACAAGTGGTCACAGCCACAAACTCTCTAGATTGGAAAAGATTTGAAAGAAATGTTCAGTAACTAGAGAGGTTTTTAATCATGTAATCAATTAAAACAGCATAAATCAAAATCTGTTGTTAACCACATTTGATTTCCTGTTATTTCTTTGGAAATTCTTAACAGCCCTTCTATTGGTGGAACTGAAAGCTCTTAGAGCTGCCCTTGCTGAGTATCTCTGAGAGCTTGTTAATAACAGTATCTAAAGAACAATTTCCAGTCATTAATAAGCTGTGGTTTCTGACAGTCCACAAACATTCCAGCCCTTGCTGCTGTGAAGAGAGAGTCTGATATATTATATTAAAAAAAACAAGCTGATTGCCAGTATTTCTCAAATATGGACTCATTTAACTACAGATTCTATGTTTTGCATTTTTGTTGTATTAGTTTTATTCCAAGAACAAAAATATCCAATCTGGTTCCTCTTTACATAAAATAAGCTCTTATAGTTCTGCTTACGGATAGAGATTGAATTTCTTAAAGCAGGCAGAC